GCCAGGTCTGGGTGGCATTAATGTTGGTGGATCAGTAATGGGTGGTTTTGGTGCTGGTGGACCACAATTTGATGCTGCTAAAGCTGTATTCAATCTAGCTGATACTAATAAAGATGGTGTACTAAGTCGAAATGAGTTTCAACAATGGGCTCAAGGTGGTATTCAAAATGTAGGTGGACAATTGCATTCAATTCATCCAACAAAAGCAGGAGTAACAACAACAGCAATAAATAATCCAAATAATTTAAATCTTCCCCAAGTACCTCAAGGTTTTAATCCTCAAATAGCAAATATTCTTGAACAAAGTGGACTTTCAAAATTTGTTTAATTATTTTATCATTCATTTGATAATATATAAAAGACTTTGATATTGTGTCATGCGTCCTAGAGTAGTTGCATGTTTTATCATATTTTTAATTATTATTTATTCCGTATATTATTTATTTGATTTTAATATTATTTTTCTTTTATCAAAACGTTGTTTAATTATGCCATTGTATCGTTGAAATTTTATAAAACCGTGAAAATAAAAGAAAAATCAATCAAATTCTTAATCTAACTGATATTTACGAAAGAATGTTTCTTATTGTCAAACCGCTTATGAGTAGAGGTGGGAAGTTACCGTTCCCAAACGTTACCAGGGAACGGAAACGGTAACGGAAAAGTTCCCAGTTCCCGGAGAGCTAGAAACGGAAAAGTTATCAGTTATCTGGGAACGTAACGGTAACTTCCCATCCCTACTTATGAGTCAAGATTAGTTGCATGATGTAGGTTCTTATGAGCTATGAATACTCTGAAAACATATTGAAATAATAGCTTATTGCTGCCAAAATACAATATTATTACCGTATCTTTTATCAGAATGCCATGATCTTTCTTAAGAACATAAGACAAGGAGAATTTCGAATTTTGACTTGAAACTTTGCATTGAGACACGTCTTAATGAGAATGACTTATTGTAAAAGTTTCAAATTTTTTGATTACTTCTATCCTAGCATAACATTATAATAAAAGCATGCTTTTTCACGCTGCTCATATACAACGACGGATTCGAATACTCTGATTTCAGAATAGGCGCAATTAAAATATCTCAATTTGGTGTTAATGAAGGAACTAAAGCACTTTGCTAAAAAATACGGTAAAAATACGGTATTTTAGTATCAATAAGCTATTAGTCCGAATTCGATGCAGGGTATTCATAGTTCATTAGAATCTTATGATGCACATAATCTCGACTTAAAAATTGATTTGACATTTAGAGACATTTGCTCGTTTGATTGGTCAGTTCTATTAATAATATTTCGCGATAGTCATGTTTAACTAATTATAATAGACTTGTATTTGATGATATTATAGAAAATTGAATCTTGATCAAGTCATCAGATAAGACTTGCAATTGTGTAATTAAATAAGTTTATCAATAATATATACCTCACACTGAGAAACTACATTATTTAAAACTGATGAAATAAAATAACTATGTGACATACGAGCTAATTATTGTTGCTTTTTATATTACATTGATAAATAATTGGCTATAGATGAAGAATACTTTGTTCTCGTTACAAACGCATACAACTATAGTTCATTGAATAAAATATTCACTTTCGATAGAACTCATTTCACCGAACTATTGCATTCAGTAAATGTAAAAATTTTGAAACTTTTATTATGACTTCAGAGATGTAATACTTAGTATTTATATAGATGAATTTATCACATGAAAATATACTTTTCATTCAATTTATAGAATTATATGTTCAATAATATTATACAAATAAAAATTAAACAAAGAAAAGCTTATAAATAATTTCTGAAGATAAAAAGGTTTCAATCATTTCTGATCAGTATTATCGTCAGCCGAAGCAGGTACAACAGTAATATTAAGCAACGGTAAAGCTCGTAAAGGTTTAGATGGTTTACTGGATAAACTTTCCATAGTTGGAATTGAAGCCACTTCTTCATTAGTAGAATCATCTTGATCAAAAATAGATTTTTGTGTAATCATAGATTGTGGTCGTACAGGTAATGGTGTTATTGTATTTTGATTTTGTTTACGTAACCACATTGAACTTCGACGTCTTTGTCTTTGTTTAGTAATGAGTGCACTTGCTGATGTATTTAATAAATTATTATTTATTGAATCAACATAATTTCCACTTTTAACTTGTGGTAATAGTTTAGCTCGTTTTGATGGTGTAAGTGGAATTGATGTCATACTTAATTCAGATGTACTTGTATTAGACATTGTATGATTAACATTTGAAGAAATTGATGAAATTTTACTTGATGTTGATGGAATTGGAATACCTTTAACAACATTTGTTGTATTTGTTGCAACATCAGTCGAAGTTGATGATAATAATTTACGTTCACGATGTGAACTTTGAAGGCTATTATTTTGTCTAATATTTTGTGGATTTCGTGTTACACCACTAGGTGGTTTTGTACGAACTATTTGAAAACATGTTTGAGTTTCTTGTTCAGGATTTATTTTATCACTCCAAGCTAAATAAATAACAATATAAACATTTTTATTTTATTGATTAGATGATTTTAATTGAAAGAAACATTATTTTAATATGAAGAATTGAATAGAAACAAAAAATTTGTTTTATATTTTATTTCAAGTAGAGTAACTAATTTTTGTCTTTTCCTGATGCAAGAACAATGATTTATTAAAATTGATAAAAGTTCAACAATGTTATTTTGATTTCATTAGAAATTAAATAAATGAGTTTAGGTATTCCAATATCAATCTCGTCTAAAAAATCAATTTTGATAACAACAAAAAAGATAATAAATTCTCAATAAATCATTATCTAGAGACTTTTCTAAGAACATTTTTGATTATAGTTCAATATATTTATTTTCAAATAAAAATAAAACTCACAGTACTGACCATTCATTGATCCATGTTCTTCCTATGAAGGAAAAAAAAAGAACAGTATAATGTGCTTATAATGATAATAATAATAATACCAATTGAAGCATGCCATTATCTTGATCATCAACACCACATGTTGATGTTGACATCGAAGCTCGACGTGGTTTGAGACCATTTAATGGTAATGTTGTTTGTGATGATGCTTGACTATTTCGAATAATTGTTTCATAAGGATTATTTGGATTATTGCTACTATCTGATAATTTTGAATGATATTTTTGTGGAAATAATCTATCTTTATATAGGTAACCGCCGAGTACAATTAAAAATAGTATTAAGGCAAGACCAAGTACAATTCCTAAAATAATATACCATGATGGTGATGTAGAATTTGATGAACCATTTGTATTAGTACCACCATTCTAAACAAAAAAAAAGGAACAAATAGATATTGAAAATATGAATAAATCAATATAAATTTACTCCTGAAGAATCAGTTGTTGTCTTATTTCCTTGAATAATTGTTGTTAACACGGTTGTTGAACTTGGCCAATATGTTGGTGGTGATAATGTTAAACTTGTTTCATTTGTATATACAGAACAAAAAATATCTGTTCTATTTGGTAATGTATAATTTTTACATGAATCTGATGTAGTAAGATTTGAAAAAATATATTTTTGTTCACGTGCTAAGTCAGGCAATGTACATGTTGCTTGTGTTAATAAAGCTGAACCATTATTTATTTCTGGAAAATCACTTATATGATCATTAATAAATGTTACCAAATAATATGATTCACAATCACATATTAAAGGATTATTTGTTAATAATATATTTGATATACCAACTAAAAAATACGATGTACTTATTGAACTAATTGTTGAACATGCACCATATTGTTCAAGTAAAATATCAGATAAACGTTCAAGTTGATTATTATTTAAATAAAAATTACGTGGATCTGGCGTTTCACTAAATTGTTGAACATATATTGGAACTTGATTTGTATAATTTCGAATTAAATTATTACTCATATCAATAGCCATATATTTTTCTAAATAATGAAAATATTAAATTAAATTAAAAGAAAAGAGAAATAAAAAACGAAAAAAAAAAATTTTTTTTTATTTACGAGTTTTTACAAATAAAGGCCAAAGATCAACATTAATTATTTGATTATAACTAAAATTCATTAAAATAATTGTTGAAGGAAAATTAACAAAAGTTTTTGCATTAATTGTAGGCATGGTTGTTAAATTATTCTGAGAAAGATTAATTGATTGTAAACGATCAGTTGCTTGAAAAAAATTTAAATCAGTTTCATTTATATAATTATTTGAAAAATTGATATCAATTAAATTTGAACCTAAACAAGCAAGTTCAGATGTATTTAATAAACCAGTTATAGTATTTGATGATAGATCAAGTGTAGCAATATTTGGATATGATGAACACATATTTGTTGGTAATGTTATTAGAGGACCATGAGTATCAGCTGTTGCTGAACTAACACGTAATTGAGTAACACTTGTTTGAAGTGTTTCATCAGTGAGTATAGGTAATTCAGTAAGGAAAGGCGTTGAAATACAAACAATATCTAAATCTGTACTATTCGTAAGTGTACAATTGCACGAAGATGTATCAGGACATAAATTAGTCACAACTGATGGCTGAATAATATTAATTAATAATGACTATCATTCAAAAATAAAAATGAATGAAAAAAAATCCTTGAATAAGTATATATAATACTTACAGTTAAAATCAAAATAAAACCGACAAAAAATTCTTTTTGTTGCATTGTCAATGAAAAATAAAATATATTGGTTATTAAAAATAATGAAGTAGATTTTCTTTGAGTTCTTTTATTCTTTCTCTCTTTTTCTCTATTCCATTCTTTGTGTCCATAAACACATTGTTCATTATCTCAAATATTTGACATACACAAACTATTGATTGTTGTTTCTCGATGTGAAAGAAACCACACAAAATTATATTGAAAAATAACTTCATGAAATGTATTCATCATCTATGCACCTATTTTTTATTAAATAATTTTCAATATTTCGAGGAGAATGATATACTGCTGTCATTAAAGTTTGTTTCGTTGATTTCGTTTCTTCATTGATAATAAATGAAATCTTAGGTAAAAAATTTAGATGCTTTGAATTAGTGTTTAATGTTCGAAACGTTTTTATATGGTATTAAAGAAGAAATATCTTGTTTAAAAGTTAAAATTAATTATCGAAAATGAAGTTATCAAATATAATTAATAGAAATTTTTCTTTTTTCATAATTTCACATTTGTTTTTCGATTCAAATGTTTAAGTTGTCTCATGACGTAAATTATTAGAAATAAGCATTCCTATATCATCCGATGTCATATAAATGAAAATATTAATCCAAAAAAATTTTCTTTTTTTTATAGGTTTCCTCTTGC